AAAAAAAAAAAAAAAAAAAAAAGGAAAGAAAGAAAGAAAGAAAGAAAGAAAGAAAGAAGAAATTCATTCATTTAGTCAGATGCTTCTACTTCTTCATTGGGTTTAATTGACTAGCTATGCTGTTAGATGATGAAAAATGGTAAAAACTTTAAAAGCCACTCAAAACTAGAGCTTAAATAATAATAGCCTATTATCTGTAATAATTGAGCTTTCAGCATGCAGAGACCTTTGGGTAAGCCTATAATTTTTTCAACCGGGTTTTTTGAGGTTGGATCACACACACACACACACACACACATACACACACACACGCACACACTCAAATGTATGTGTGTGTTGATTAATGGTACGAATTTCCCTATTAGTCTGAAATTTCTTTACTCGACTGATTAATGGTATCGTTTTGTTTTGACAGGTCAGGGTCAAGGTGGTAAATTCCAGTAATGGGTTCTTTTCTCATCTGTTAATAGTCAGTCTGACTAGTATGGCAAATTATACTTTTGGCACCCAATTTATTCAAACTTCTCATAATTTTGCTATGAGGAAAGGAGTTAAAATTGTTGAACTCTGTGGAGTGTGTACTCAACTCCTTGTGCTTTTTATTTGTTTTTTTGTGTCTTTCAGTAGTTGGTTCGATTTCTCGTCTTCTTCCGAAGGACTACGTAGTGCAAAAGTTGCAAATAACAAACTCTACTCTGCCTTGGGCCATTTTGTGTGTAGCTTAGTGCAATATTTGTGTTAATTGTTACTGTGAACTCTTTTGCTGGGATTTGTTTATGGGCATATATATGTTTTTTTCCTACTATTTTCTAGTGAAAAATTGTATTCTTTTCGTTTTTCTACTTTCCCCCTTTGTTTCGTTAATGTATTCAGTTGTGTTTTGCATTTAGAAAATTAGAAGAGATCTGATCATAAAATTTTTGTGGTTGTGGTGTTGTTACTCCAAAATTTTAGTGCAAAATTTTTGATTTTGATATTTATTTTAGGCAAAATTGCACCTCACATCACGACTTTATCGACTTTTGCAATTCTGTCACGACTTTGGGACCTTGTCAATTCGGTACCCAACCTTTTCATTTTTTACTTGACCAAGCATTGACCATCCCGCCGATCGACAGATGCCAGCTTGTCCGGCGACTTAATCCAACATGGATTAAATACGACGACGTTTCGCCTGACTTGGAGGACGTCCGAGGCAAAATTAACACCTCATCAATACGACACCGTTTCATAATTAAAAATCATATATAAATACCAAAAAATCCCCAAAAAAATGTTCAATCCCTAAAATCCCTAAATTTGTTGACACCCTGCGACCCTCCCTACACAGAAGGTT